AACAATGATAAATATTAGAAATATAAAACGATTTAAAGTTCGAAATCATTAATATAATAAAATGTTCAGTACTTCAACACACATAAAATACAAATCTAATCGAACATTTCATAAATATTTTACAATGTTTGATRATTGAGTTTATTTACAATACCTATAATTATATTTAGATACCTATTTTGAGCGCCATGAATTAAATCAATTGATTATAGAATTTTTAAACAAAAATAAATACCCTTCATAGTTAAWATAATTAGTTTAATTTAAGTTATAAACAATAACAATCAAAATTATTGAATTAAGTTGACTTGTACGTATCTGAATAAATAAAAATAAAATGGTTGAAAACACAGATTACACTACAATAGTATAATATAATGTTATCTTTATAAATATTGTTTGTCAGTTCGTTTATTTGGGATAATTTCTAGAATTACTTAACCGATTTAAAMATTTTTCAAAGAGGTGCGCTATTCTAAGGATCTATACTAAAGGTTATAAATTATAATCTWATCTCGATAAGTGGCCATCAATTTTTTTTTATAGCAAATTTGAGAATTTTTRTTGAAAAAATAAAAATAATAAATAATATATTTTATGAGAATAATTATATAGATGAAATAAAATAAATATTAATTTGTGGCTGTGGATGTAATTATTTTTCATAACTATTAGGTAACCTTATAGATCCACATGTCTAATTTGATGATTCTTGTTTATTATTTTATGGATTATTTATAATCCATTAATAAATAGTTTTTTAAATTATGTATAAACTAACCACGAGCAACGGGTAAATTTCTGACTTATATTAAATTYAAATTTTCAGTAATACGGATCATTAAGAAGAGGTAATATAAATACGTCTAGAGATCAGATTAAAATACAATAAACTATAAAAAGATGAATATTGCAACAAAATCATACGGAATCGTAATCAAATAACGTGGAGACTTTATTATTATGTTTTACACGTATTTATTACATACATTATGTGTATATTTTATGACATATATAATGTTTATGTAGCTACCTATTATTATTATTGTCAATAGTGATGGTCACTAAAAATGCATTTATCACGACATAAACATACACGCGTGGGGTATAAATTACGTATAATAGACAATAGTACTATTATCACTGTTTCATACATAATAATGTCACTAGGAATTAGGATAATCGCATACTGAATTTATACTTACATTAAAGAATTCGGCAGTCTCAGTCACAAGCTTCAAAATTGTACAACTGTACAACCACCGTAGTACCGTACAAGGTACAACCGATACTTCCGACTTCCTAGTGCACGACACAAGAACATAACAATAATAACATTATAGTAACGATTAACGTTAACAAATAAGGAGTAATGAGTAATGATGATTTTAGTACATTACGAGTTACGGTAATAATAATAATGATAACGACGCAAGAGAGCGCGTGGTCACCAGTATTATACTTTTAGCCTGTAGGTATAATATATATATATAACTTAATAATCATCTGCTATCACGCCGCGTCACAAACTCGCACTGACATGGTGAGCGCGGGCCGTCGCGGTGCCAACGATGTTATGGTACCCTGGTATTGCGGTATCAAACTTAACCCTCGGCGTTCGGTTTAATCCGTGGGTTTAATACTTCGGAAACTATTTCGTCAGACCAGCCATAATCTTGCGGACGGGCAGGATGGGTCAGGATTATCATGGGCGAGCCCGATTGCCAGCTGGTGCAGCTCGCATTGCGCCGGGCCGACGGTGATGGACCAGGGTACGATGAATGCAACCGATCGCCGCCTGTCAGTGAGTATAGAACGTGATATTATTGTAGTACACCGATCCTATTGTGTTATGATAATTATTATTGTTATTACTTGTTATATTTGTTGTAATAATATTACCGTTAACCACATGGATAGGACCGCGAAGTAATTACAAATTTGGAGCTGGCCCCTGGCCACCGTGGAATAGGCACCTCAAAAAAAAAAAAATCAAAGCTGAGAACACAGGTAAATCGTAAATAAAATATAGGTTAGCGTTAACGTTAGCCAATTCTAACCTAATATAAGTAAATTATTTTGAAAATCGCTCCGTAGATCAAATTAGTTGCAAACTAATTGAAAAATTCCGATATCTCTGACTTGATGGTAAATGTGTTCTGACGCATTTCGTTTTCAGTCCAATATTCATAGTTATATAATGCGTTTTATTTGCGACCAGCTAGCAGATTTTTATCGGAACGCCCAAGAATCGCTTACTCTTAGACCTAATATTGTTGATATTTTCAAATTGGTATAGGTTACACCTGTAGACAGTAACGGAAAATAACGCGTTTATACCATAACCAGTATTTAATATTTCCAACACATCAACAAGTTAGGAAGCTAGCTCATCGAGGGTACTAAATTCTTGGTTGGTAACCAAACGTGTTTTATTACAAAACAATAAACGATAATTCCAAATACAATTATGTATTCTAACTAAATGTATTCTTTTTTTTTTTTTTTTATTAA